AGAGATGGACTTAAAATTCAGGAACATTGTAGTATGTATATCGATTTCTTGACAACATATATTATGGATTAAATGGATATTGGGGTATGAAGAAGTTGATGTATGAGCTGGAATGAGGACTTGTTTGGGTCCAAACTTGATAGTTTTGCTTTTTGTTCAAAGAAGAAAAACTACGATTTGGGGATTTTTAGCAACATTATTAGGCAATGGCGGATATAAGCAAGGGCTCGATCAGACTATAGATATCCACTTTCTTCGTATTTTTTAATTTTTTAATTCATGTACATTTATATTCCAATTCGGGTCCATACTCATGATTAGATCCACCGTTGTTATCGGGTGTGATGTGACTTGTTTGGTGGTGTGATGATAGCCAGTGAATTAATCTCCTAATTCATTCTTTATTTACTTTTACTTCATAAACTGTAAAGTTTTTTGGTTAAAAACCTTTAATTGTAAATTTGAATATTTATTAAAAATAATGTATGTGGTGTTTATTCCACCTGTTTATGAGTTGGGCTCGGAAGTGATGTATTTATTAGGCCATTTCACGGGTCCTGTTAGGTTGGGCAATTTTTGGGCCTCTGAGACCAGACCGGTAAAAGAATTTTTGGTGAAACATTGGACTGAGACAACAACTAGCATTAATGTTTAATGAAACATAAAATAACCTAAATTATGTTTTCTAAAGTTTTAATTTTATTAATCAAACATTAATAATTAGGTGATCACATAAATTTAACTAACAAGTCACAGATAGATCACATCACAATCAAACATTATACTAAGTTAAAGTCATTCAATATATATATCACAATCATTTATCAGATAAATTTATTAAATTTTATGAAATGTTCCCTTAACAAAAGTTAGTATAATTTAGAAACATCTGAGAAATGAGGCTTTTTACTAAAATACAATTAATTACTGTTATTATCTTACTTAATCAATCATTTTCGTAACCCTAACCTATAAAGAAGAATGAGTTACAGAACAAATACTGAATCATCTCTCTCTGCAATTTAATCCTTATAATCTTTGCTAAAATTTATATTTCTAACATTTTTCTTGCCACCGGAAAAACATATAAGATAACTTACATCTTCAGCAACTTTAGAATTTAGAAAATTGAAGGGTTGCAAGATTTGGGGTTGAAGTTACAGTCCCATACGAAGATATATTTGAAATGATTGTGTGATTCAACAGTATTTTAATTGAATCAAATTTTGTTGAACTAGGTCTTAATTCCTAAAATTTAACTTCGTAATTTACGTGACATGCCAAATCTTTTCATGACATTTGAAAGAAGAGCAAAACCATATGTACGGAGGAGTTCTATGAAGAACTCCTACAGAACAGATCCATGAGGTCGGTTTCATGCGAAACCCATGGATGATAAAAATTACAAAAAAATGCCGACATCCCTCCTTTGAGTATAGTTTCTAAAGCGTTTGTAAGTATTCATTCTGTACGTGTAGTGCAGTTGTTGAAAGAATTGTGACTTCTGATTATTTAATTATAATTCTATATAGAAAAGATATTTGAATAGTGACATTCATCTATATTATATTTGTTGTACATGTGTGATGGTCAGATGTCATTGTCCACGTTTCGATCATAAAACTTTAAACCTGTAAAAGGATTATAGGGAGATAAATCCCACCATATTCATTGGTACAACGATGTCGTTAATGATTATGACTTTAGGTGGATTTATTGCTTTCTGTGTATGGTGTCTATTATGACAAGCAATTGAAAATTTGGCTAGGGAAATTGGATGATTGCATCATGATTATTTGTTACATTTTAATTTTTTATTATTTATTAAGATCACTTTAAAAAAAAAAAAAATTACCGTTGTCAAATATTGTTATAAAATTTAAAAAGTTTTTAAATGTGTTTATTTATTTTTGCAAATAATGATTGATCGATAATTAAAAAATATAAATAAAGAATTTAAAATAATTTAGGAGGTGTTTGAGCCCAATTATTTTGGTAATAATGCATTCTTGAATAGTGTATTAATGGGAAATGTGTGTTTAAAAAATAAAGAAAATTTTTTGATTTGCGTATAATATTATTTTATTAAAAAATGTGATTGAAATGATATCAAATCACTATTTAAGAATATATTTTTTTGAAATAATATGGCTCAAGCAAGCCCTTAATAACCTCAATTGAAAATTCAATAAATATTTCTTATTGCTAGATATAGTATCAGTTTTTCTAATTTTTATTATTTCTATACCCTTTTGACATCTACAGCTTAAATTTCTACTTCATTTTTGTACTAGATATTTAGATTTTTTTTTAATTTTTTAATGAGAAGTCAAATTTACAAAAATATGATTCAACCTAAGATCATTTTGTACAAAAAGAAGAAAAAAAAATAAACTTCCTAAAATGGAAACAATTTTTGTTGTTCAATTGAAAATTAAATCTAAGAAAACAAATATAAGCTCATGAGGAGAAAATGGGGAAACAAAAAGCTTAAAACTAAAAAATTGTCGACTTTTAAAACTATTGAAAAGAAAACTCATGAATCTTGAGGGAGAATTAGGCATTTTGCTCAAAACATTTAAAAAAAAAAAAAAAGATGTAATTTACCTTTTGACAAATTCATATAGAAATTTGTATCGTGGTTTATTTGCATGTTTTAATTCACCAAAATTCTTTCGCTAGTTATAAGGTTGATGTCAAAATTCATTGTGTCGATTTTAGGGGTGGTGAAGGTGAATTGCCACGTGAAGTTGAAACCACCGCGAAATAGAAAACTACATTATTGATATCGTCGTGATCATTTTTCGTGATTAAAGCAATGGAGCTCTTTTCCGACTCTAATCAACACGAAGCAATCCGAAGAGAGTCTTTAACAATATAACTTGTTGATACAATGTAGAACAATCTCCTTCCAAGACCAAATCAAAGCACAAAGTGGCTCCACAATATTAAGGTACAAAGTGTAAAAGGTATCAGACATACCAAATACGAGGTCACAATTATATATATAGGTATAACATCAATTCTTAACATAGTTTAAACATAATAATACAACACTATTTATTGAATAATATCCGATCGACTTCTAGTATTCTAAGCAGTTATGCTCGACCGTAAAAATGCTCTTCCTGGTTGACGATCAGCCAAGGGCCCATGACATCCTAGAAGCTGCAAATCCCAACATGTTTCTCAATGTTAACAGTTATATCAAAGTATAATAGATACGTAACTTTAGAGAGAGTAGCAATAGCAACATAAGAGGTTACAAATGGGCTGAGCTCATTGGTTCACATTTTTTGACGAGCCAGCTCACAACTCATTTTCTATTCCCAAATATTTTATTAATTAATTCTTAAAAAAATTGCTCATTTTTATGCTTATTTTGTTAATTTATTTTCATAAAATGAATCAAATGAGCTGCTCTGCTAGGCTCAACTCGACTCGTGAAGTCAACGATCAAAAGGACCAATAGCCCATCCTTAGATATGGACATGAGCCGACCCCGGCTCGTCAATTGGACCGAACCGAACTCTCATTTTCTATTCCCAAATATTTTATTAATTAATTCTTAAAAAAATTGCTCATTTTTATGCTTATTTTGCTAATTTATTTTCATAAAATGAATCAAATGAGCTGCTCTGCTAGGCTCAACTCGACTCGTGAAGTCAACGATCAAAAGGACCAATAGCCCATCCTTAGATATGGACATGAGCCGACCCCGGCTCGTCAATTGGACCGAACCGAACTCTCATTTTCTATTCCCAAATATTTTATTAATTAATTCTTAAAAAAATTGCTCATTTTTATGCTTATTTTGCTAATTTATTTTCATAAAATGAATCAAATGAGCTGCTCTGCTAGGCTCAACTCGACTCGTGAAGTCAACGATCAAAAGGACCAATAGCCCATCCTTAGATATGGACATGAGCCGACCCCGGCTCGTCAATTGGACCGAACCGAACTCGGGCGGGGGCCATAGCCCCCTAGCTAGTTCAACATGTCCAAGATTTCAAAGCTTAAAGAAGTCCAGCAAAAGGGATAATAATAGGGTAGGAAGAAAGTAACCTTGGCATTGACACCATCAGGCAGAATCCTGTTCTCTGATTTCAACTTCACATAATCAGATCGGTCGATTTTAGTGAATCCCCTGAAATTAAAGATGTAATAACACTAACGCACTGCAAACTAATACACTGAAAAGTTTTTGTATATACTACATGCTTACCACTTCCTGCTAACTATGATCTTTTGACGACCAGGGAACTTAAATTTTGCACGGCGCAGCGCCTCCTGAGCATGTTGGCTGTGGGCATCTTTGCAACGGACAGAGAGAAGAACCTGTCCAATAGCAACACGAGCACAAGTACCCAGTGGTTTACCAAAAGCACCCCTCATACCTGTCTGGAGCCTATCAGCTCCGGCACACGACAACATCTTGTTGATACGCAGGACATGGTAAGGGTGGACTCTCACCCTCAGGTGGAAAGTATCCTTTCCCGCGTACTTGGTCATGTACTTGTTGCAAGCAATACGAGCAGCTTCGAGGGCCTCACTCGACACATTTTCCTTCTCCCAACTGACCAAGTGCACACAGAACGGGAATTCATCGACTCCCTTCTTCTTCATGCCCACATCATAGATTCTGATCTTGGGATCTGGCACACCACGACAGAACCGGGATTTTGGGTACGGCTTGTTCTTGATTTGGCGGTAACACCTTGCAGGTCCTGTAAAAAAATCTCAAAAACATGACACATGGATTGAAAAAAAGGACATGAATTGATCTGTGTTTCGAGACTTACTTCTTCCCATTGAGAGGTTTATGAATTGTCTCAAATTGGAAAATGAATGCAAATAGATGGCAAATGAAAGTTATATAGGTTGGGCTGACCGAGGGATGGAAGCGTGTGGGGCGGGCAAACGTAGGGGCTTTCGTCAACATGTGATTATTAGACTTTTCTCACACTAATCTAGAAACAATCAAGTGGCGGCGTCTGATTGAGAGTAAGTCGGTTAGCAATTTTATATTTTACAGCCAAGCACAATTAGAATGTTCTGGTCTAATCTAGGACATCTATCATTACGTGTCACTAATAAATTTATTTTGAAAATTTTTATTCTTGATCTTTTTATGGTCTCAAAATTTAAATGTGAATTGTCCGAGGGGTCCTTTTGATATTAGGCAAGTCAAAATGTTACAATTTGGTCAAAAAATTTTGCCAATCTTCAAAATGGCTATTTATTGAATAAAAGACAA